TCATTTTTTGGCCCTATGTAGAAAGGTGCGCTTAAACCAGCTTCTTAGTAATGGACACATTAATCAAGTTTACAAGAAAGATAGCATTCAGGATGACACCTGACTTAATTCACAAGTAATCTGCCAAGTTGCAGTGAATCAGTTAGCGTATGTACTCGAGCATAAGCTGACCCGAATATCAGCCAAGGCACCTAATTTTGCCACAAAAACTGCATTAAAAATGTGCTGAGAAACTCAGCTTATACACAAGTATATACAGTAAGTTTGACTCCTATTTTTTCCTCTAGAATTTGGTCACTAAAATGTACTCAGAAGATTATAAACGAGAAATAAAAGCAAGGGGAATCCATGATGTGATCTTGGATTGGGCAAACATTTTGGCAAAGGGCTGGATAAAGATTATGTGAATGAATGAGTATAGCTTTAACAAAAACATAAAAAATCAGGTAGTTTGTGGGCAATTAAATCCGTTAAAAATTACCTGGTGTGAGCACCAGATTCAGTGTGCCAATGTTTCTCTGCACCTTTGCTTTTCTAACCAAGCTAGATTACAATTGAGGAGAAATCCATTTCCTTACAGGGCAGAGTAATTCAGTCTCTTTAAAAGGGGGAAAAAAACCTTCAATTTTGGGTAGGAGGGCATCTTGCAATCACTACACGTTATGATCACTGTTCAACACAACTTAAATTGTCTTTCCTATTAAATTATTTTTAATGATTATACACTGAATGCTTTTAAAATAATGCTTCCCTTATCAAACCTGAGTTCTACTCAGGTTCTTGAGCAAACTGTTCCCTTCAGAAAGAAGTGCATGAGGCTCAGAACAGTGCCAGGCATACTGGGGGAATCGGAGTGTGCTTCAAAAATCTGGCAGAAAACAGGAGCTGATAACAAGGGCTCAATAGACAGTAAATGTTTAGAAAATAATGATGGCAACATATGTACAAATATCCTTGATACAATTAATTGATGTATGGATTGTTATGAGTTGTAAGAGCCCCCAATGAAATGACTGTTTAATAAAAAAATTTTTCCCCCACTATCTTGTTTCCCATGAACTTTTTAAAGCTCCCTACCTTGTAGTGGGCATTCATTTGTTGAAAGAGTACAATATTAACTCATATGCAAAAACATGAAGATTTTAACCTGTCATGTTTAGTTCAAGATTGACAATGCTATCAAATTATTTTTTTTTTCTAGACTTTCTTATGAAGCTGAAAACAAGTTTCTTTACCTTATTGGAAAAAGTGCTACGTTGGTAACCATTGAACTGCTAATTGAAAGGTCAGTGGTTCAAACCCACCAGCCACTCAGTAGGAGAAAAGTTGAGGCTGTCTAATCTTGAAACAGCCATCAGGTCAATTTTGACTCATTGTGACCCTATAGGATTTCTCAGGCTGTAAATCTTTGTGAGAGCAGAAAGCCTCAGCTTTCTCCTATGCAGCAGGTGGTGGGTTTGAACTGCTGACCTTGTGGTTAGCAGGCTCATGAACAGTGCCCTATGACACTAAAGGGTTTCACAGGAATGAACATTTCTGCACTTTATAAAAATGCCTCACCATGGGTCTGATGAATCGTTCATACTTCGGTGGTTTCCGTGTAAAGCCATCCCCAACAAAGCAAACTTTAGTAACCATCCTTTTCCAGGCCTTC